CCAGTCATTGCTAGTACTGCCATCGGCAGCAAAAGCATGAAAAGAAAAGAGCCAACTAAGCTATCATGGAACTTCAAGAAGGCTGACTGGTGTAGATTCTCTAACCTTTTAGACAATAAACTTCACACAAGTCCCCTCAACTACAACCAACATCCTGACAAACTTTGCACTGATATCACGAATATTATGATCAGATGTGCAAAGAAAACTATTCCCAGAGTGTTTTGGTCTAAACACCTTGAGAAACTGAAAAGAAAGCGGGACGCCCTTCGCAACACTGCTGATCAGACTGGAAGAACGGAAGACGTGCAAGCCTGGAGACGACAATCAGCTGTCCTAAGGCAAGCCATCTTACAAGCTAAACGCGCTTCCTTCGACAAGTTCATCTCAAATATCAACTANGAGACAATCAATGTCAACTATCCTGGAGATCAATGGCTCCAAGTCTTCACTGACGGGTCATACATAGAATGCCAAGCAAACGCTGGTGCAGGTGTCTATTCTGAACTCTTCTCTTTCTACGCAGCAGCGGGACACAATAGATCCGCTTTCGAAGGAGAAATAGAGGCCATTAGGATGGCACTATGCCAATTATGTTGTCTGGATACGAAATTCACCAAAGCGGTGATACTTTCGGACTCACAGTCACTAATATACTAATAATAAACTAATAAACTAACACCCAAAACAGCTAGATAAAGGAATGTAGAAAACTCTATGAGCTGCTAAGAGAGAAAAACAAAATAGTGGTCCTACAATGGATTCCTGGTCACTGTGGCATTAAAGGCAATGAGCTTGCTGATGCACTTGTTAAGAAGGGGACAACGATTTTGCAATGCATGGACCGGCCGATGTCTTTCCACACAATGAAGGCCTTAATCAGGAGAGAATTACAGACCTCATGGTGCAACGAACTCAAAGCTCGAACAAAGGAGAAACAGTGGACAGTGGCACTCTCCGACATAGTCAAATGCCCAAGAATCGAAGCCGTTGCTGAGTTTAGACTGCGTACCGGACACGATTGCTTGGCAAAACACCTTCACAGATTGGGAGTATACACTCAGCCCACATGCCCTCTATGTAATCTAAAGGAGGAAATGGAGAAGACCCACCTGATTCGTTGTCCAGCCCTAAAGACAAGGACGGAAAGCCAGAGATACTTGGAAGCAAGAAGACAGGTAATGAATTGCTATTAGTTAACTGCTATAAATGTACCCCCCCCCCTCTTGGGGGAAGCTGAAGTCAAAGATTAAGGGCTAATGATAAATATCATAAAGCCTTCCATTTGAAATAAATAAATTTCGTGAAGGTGTACCACAAAATGAATAAATTCTTTCTCTCCATGCGTTTTGTTTTCCTCAATACTGTAGAGGTAGGTTAGTAAATTTCTATAGCAATTTCATACTAGGCGATTTTTCTAGAGAAGATTTATTTATTTATTTCAAATGGCGGGCTTTATGACACTTATCATTAGTCCTTTAGCTGACTTCGGGCTTCACAGAGGGAAGGTTCATCAAAGTAGCAGAAAGTCGAGGGGTGGGGAAGAGAAGAGCGATTCACAGATGTAAAAGAGGCAGATAGACACAAAGGGAGAGAAAAAGGTAAGGTGAGTACAATAGTAGGGGTCGAATATGACAACCAGGGGGGTCGTGGTAGTTTGAAGTCAGAAGTCAACTGCCACTTAATAGACTTTTTTGCCGGATGAGTATACGTTGCTCAGGGTGCACCACGTGGAGGTAAGTCTATCGCACACCCCATTCCTAGAGAAGATTGTTGAGGTCATGACACATTGGTGCCGTAAACCCTACCACCTCTACTTCCTTATCCGCAACATTTGGATTTACGTTCAACCGCTTCTTATAATTGAAAGTTTCAGATTGACATGGATTGCCGTAAGTGTTTGAAATTATGGTTCATCACCAAATACTTTGGGAATATAATTAAAACCCACCATCACGGCTTTAAAAGATTTCCACCTCCCTGTAAAATTATTGTTCGTGAAATTGGTTAGGTTTACTAATTCATCTAGGGGTAGAATTTAATTCGTTGGAGCAAATCCTGAATGTCAATCCAAGATTCATACTACCTTGTCAGACATTAATTTTTTAGGTATTGGAAAATTCATGAACCTACGAACATTCAAAATAGTGTAATTTCATACAATTTACTAAAAAGTAGTCTTCACGAAGACATATTTTCTTTTATTTTCAGTTGAAGCCAATGTGCTTGACATAATAGGCTAGAAGAGCTGAAATCAAGAGAAGCTTACCAAATGCATGATCTTCGGCTTTATACCCGCTACGACATGCCTCGACACCTTCCAAAATGCCTTTAGCAACGATCTTCAATGCACCCCGTGAGATTACATAACCTGCTCCTCCAGAGGCATAAGTTGTTTTCGCGTTTTTCTAAAATTTAAACGAAGAAAAGTGGGCGTTGAAATCAGTGCATTTAGACTAAAGTGTTTTACTAATTTTATTTATTTCAAAACATTGGTACATTTGCACTCAAACCTGTTTTAGAACTGACAGGGCAAAGCGTATTAATTATGATTTTTTTACCTTTCTTTTTACGTAAAGCATAGCTTAAGCATCACCAAATAACAAGTTTTTTATTTAATGTTTATAAAATCCTTCAGCCAAATGGTTTAAATGAAGCAAATTAAACGAAAAATATGACGGGAGCCTACAATGAAACGTCTGCCCATAAAAAATGGTTCATCAGGAATTTTTGCGGCCAGTAGATAACGAAGGTTCTCTACAATTACGTAGGTGTCGTCATCCGCTTTCAGAAAATAGTCGTAGTCATCAGCATGGTGTTTGTAGGCATACATTATTGCTTGACGTGTCTTCTCCCATAACATGTCTCTTCCTTCCACCTCAACTGCGCCTACAAATTAATGTAGAAAAACGATCAAAAATGCTTATCTCACATTTTAGTCAGTTTGTAATTTATTCAATATGGGCATTTCTATGATATAATTAGATTCCTCGAAGATTTAATTTTTCGGCTATTCGAATAGGGTATTTAAAAAATCCTTCTGATGTGTTGATCGAAGAGAACTTGTTTATTTATTTATTTATATCAAATGGCAGGCGTCTTGATGGTTATCATTAACCCTATAGTTGACTTCAGACTTCACAGAGGGGAAGGAACATCAAATTGAAAAAAAGTCGAGAGGGGGGAACAAAAGAGTGTTTCAAAGATGTAAGAGACAACACACAAAGGTAAAAAAGGTGAGGTGAGTACTGTGAAAATGATCGAATATGGCATAGAGTGAGGTGGTGGTAGTTTGAAGTGAGAAGTCAACTGCCGGCTTATAGACTTTTTGCCGTATGAGAATACGTCGCCCAGGGTGCACCACGTGGGCTGGTTGGTTCTACACTCATAGGTCGTAAGGAGACAAATTCAACACTGACACTTCTGCGTTATTTCATCCATCCAAGTATCAAAATGAGAATTACCTTGCAATATATCACCTCTATTCGCCTAAATGAAAAGCACTTAAAAATATAGACGATGGCAATAGTGTGTTCACTATATATGCACTTTATGGCTATATAATTCGACGAAATAATCATACCCTTATATTCTTAATATTAAAACCTCGTGGATACGTAGCCCAC